GGGGGGGGGGGGGGGGGGGGGGGGGGGGGGGGGGGGGGGGGGGGGGGGGGGGTAGTGGCTTGGTCGACGTGTCTATCCTCTGTGGTAAGAAGTCATTTTTCGTTAAGTGAAAAACCCTACTGGTATATTTTTGGTGAGGGGCGGGGACGTTTGCCCGGATCTCTTGCAGTCATGCCTTCGTCCTGTTCGTCCTGTCTTTCCCGCTCCCTTTTCACGCCCGATGTGTAGAGGGATCGATTTTACCGTCAACGTTTCACGCTGAAACCTGTTCGGGTGTTATCTGCATGGGATGGTTGGACAGATCTGTCATCACGGAGGTGATGAACAACTGCGTGCTGGGCGAGAGGAAGAACATGAACCTGCCCGGCGCCATCGTGGACCTTCCCACGTTGACCGAGAAGGTAAGACGATGAAGAGGGGGTGATTGAACAAAAAAAAGTTATAAGAGTGAGGTTTGGGAATACAGGGAGGGCGTTTGCCTTTTGTGTTGTGGCTCGAGGAAGCATGGAGTCAGCCTGTGTTCGGCCGGGCCTGACAGAAAGAGCAGTCGTTAGCGTTGTTCCTGTTGCCCCGCAAACGTCAAGCAGCGTCGCCGTTGGTCGTCCTCGTCCTGCTATCCACCGCCGCTGCTGCTGCTGCTGCTGCTGCTGTGTCTACCCCTGCCAACAAAGTTGGCTTATCTCTCTTCTGTGCGCTTTGGATGCTACCTCGATGCTGTTGTATGCTGCTGCCTGCCATGGTTTACGCCCGCGTGTTCATATGGTACCACCCTGCGCTAAGTGATCGATTGCGCTACACCTGCTGCTCGAGGTCAATGGTGTCACGACCACAACGGCATGCACGATTATGAGTACACTCCCCACCCGCCACGCCCCCCTCCTCTTGACCTATGTGTTGTGGTTTGATTTGTTAGGACATCAACGACCTCCAGGAGTTCGGGCTGGTGCACCAGGTAGACTACATCGCCGCGTCGTTTGTGCGGAAGGCGGAGGACATCGACACAATCCGCATGGTGCTCGGGGAAGAAGGCGCGCACATCAAGGTGAGTCAGAGAGAGAAAGAGCTTCTGCTGAAGGCCAGGCATCCGTGGGGGATGCGGGGGTGCTGAGATGTTTGTTCGTTTTCACGAAACGGATAGTAAGAGGCGAAGCGATCGGGGGGGTTAAAGGGCACGGAGGGTACCAAGGACTTTTATTGAGAAACAAGGGAAAGCATAGAAAAATGGGTGGATTATGTGTAACGGTATTCGAGCGAAGCCACCCTATGGAAAGCGGGGGCATTGCTTTGTAAGAAGGGACCGGTATCGTGCCGGTGCTTTCGGCGGGCACGCGCTACATACTCGAAGTGGTTCTAATTTTTGGAGTGGTGCGGTACGGTGTAGCACTTGTTCGTTTCTTTTTTGGTGCACATGCTGGCGCTGAATAGGGACCTCTACTGCCGTACCTCAAATGTGTATCATGTGCGGCCTCAATCACAGACGTGCAGAACGCGGTCTGCAGTCTTACGCGTTCGCCGTACCCTCCAGGACTCTTGTTCTTTGTCTTGTGCTTGATTGCGACAACGTAAGTAAACGACTGCTGTGGTTTGTATCTCGACGAACGGATAGGGTAGTCTGTCTGTGATTGCAAGCTTACGTGCGTATTTGTCTTACACAGAAAAAAAATGCCGGACTTAAATTCGTACACGTAAATGTCAGATCATCGCCAAGATCGAGAACCAGGAGGGGATCCGGAACTATGACGAAATCCTCCTCAAGACCGACGCCATCATGGTGGCACGCGGGGACATGGGGATGGAAATCCCCCCCGAGAAGGTGACTTTATTTTCTCAATTGTTCATACTTCATACCGTCAAGTTTGAATGTTTTTGTTTGTTCTGTTGTTTTGGGTCTTGCGTGTTTATTGTGTGAAGTACGAAGGGCATCTGGTTTGGCTAATGAACTCTCGAGGTTATGGGTTGGAACTCGAATCAAGCGTCTGAGAGGGAAGCGAAAAAGCTAAGCAGTATGGATAGCAACCGAGAGAGAGAGACAGCAATGAGAGGAAAGAGAGGGGATGAAGAGCGATTCACTTGGTCCGTGTTTTGGATCAGCCGGCGTAATACCCGTGCTATGACGCAACCAGTGTCTCAAACAGAGAAATACTGACCCTCTCCGTCTATCGATCCCTCGCCTGACTGCACGGTACTGTTGTGTGCTTTCGGCGTATTTCGCCTATGCGCACAACAGTTTTTCCGATATTGTTTCCTTTCGATTTTTTGCCTCGAACAAGTTGACATGCAGCATGTACCGGTCAGTCCCTTAGCTGAGCTCCTCATTGAACATTTCCCCCCCCCGGTGTTTGCCATCGGGGTTGGGTTTTCGTCGCTTGGCAACGACGTTTTAAAACAAGCCAATCCACTTCGTGAGCTCGGCAACCAGGTTACCGTTTTTTTTTTACGTCTGGTTATTTTTTGGCGGTAACCATAATGGTGGTCGAGTGGATCATGTTGTGCGGGGTGGAGAA